TAAATAATTATGCAAAGCTACTATTACAGTTTCTAATGGAGGAAAGTGTTTTTAAACTTTATTAAAATGTAAACATCATTTTTTACAAGACTATGTGTTTTTGGTTTATATGTGAAATGTTGTATACACTTGTCATGTATTCAGTTTAAGAGCATAAAGGAAACGTGACACCAACATAGTTTCAAAACAAGTTTTATTGTGTTTGTATTTTAACAAATGTTAAATGTTAAAGAAAATACAAGTGCTGAATTTTGTATCATACATACCTTTTTTTCGTATCCACAGCTTTTCAGAACAGACTTTGTGTTTTACTGCCACCAGCAAAAAATAGAATTGAATACAATACAATAGAACATGTGTATTTCACCCAGTATTTAATGATACCTTCTTAAAGGAGTAATCTACATGACATGTAATTTCCATTTTGCAGTCATTCCCATTACCTTAGAGCAAAACGCAGTAGAATGGTGAAAGGCCTGAACAATGATGCAATGGCAATTAACATGGTGGATAACCCACCTGACCTGCAGGCAGTTATCCCTAATGAGATAATAATAATCTCCTTTAAAAAAAGAACATTTATGTATTTTTCCTTTCTATTACATAACTGTCATGCTGCTTAAATATGGTTTATAATGTGAATTCATCAAAGCTGCAGCAAAGGGGCATAAGTCTCATTTTGTTAATCACTGGAAAGTTCATTGGCTTCTTTCTGATAATAAAAAGAAGCATTTAGGATGAGAAATGTTTAAATAAAGGGCAAAGAATACAAGTGGAGCCACTAAATTGAATTATAGGTGCAGCAAAGTGTGCCCTTGATGGTTTATAATTACAAATCATCAGTACAATATTAGACTTGTAATTTTTGCTTTGCTTTAAAATGTGTAAAATGATTCAACCTTAGAAAAAAATCGAGGAAAAGAAAGCTGGATAAACTGGAAGTGTCTGAGGATATAAATAGCAACCAGACTTCACAAGAATAAACACAGAAGGTTTCTCAGGCAGCTGAGGAGGGATGCAAAGTGCTAAACTCACCAGCTCAGTGACGTGGTGATATTGGTCTCTTTCCTGCCGGGGGGAGATTTAATAAACGCAGAAAAACAAACAGGGTGTGCGGTGCGGAGCCGGGGTTGCTGCGGGGTGAGGAGGACGGTGGCACTGCGGACACATCCTCCTGTAGGAAGGAAGAGGAGTTGTGGAGAAAAAGCAAACAGAGGCCGTGGACGGGTCTCCTTAACCCCGCTGTGAACCCGTGACCTTACCTTCCGACTACTTCCCATTACCTCTGCACGACATTTAGCCCACATACCGCACAGCGACCACGCACACGTAGCATTGTATAGGGCTCATTGTGAGGAGGGGGTGGGGGGTGCTGTTCATGGAGGGGTCAAAAGAATGAAAACCACCGTGTTCACAGGCCAATTACAAGAAGACATGGACGCTGGAGAGCATGTGCATCCTCCTTTAACTGGATGAGGAAATATAATGTTGCAGCACTTGGGCTTGCTGGTAAAAGAAAAAGCAATGTTGGCCTATATTTAAATAGAAAACTACTTTTGGTGTGAGGAGAACATGGGTAAACCGCAAATACACAAAATAACAACTTCAAAATAAGATTAAAACTTCCCCATAATGTAATATTTATTATGTTAAAAAGGAACCAGAGCAACTTCATCATTGCTCAAAATAAAACAGAACCCCATTATTTATTATATATGCCATTTTTACGCCACTAGTAACTTCAAATAAACATTGTTTGCATACAAATTGTCTGAGTTTTCGTTTGGTTGACAACTCAAGTCGCATTTAAACTGAATAATATTTTATTTTTGTTTGTGTTGGTGCCTTCAGCAACCAGTCGTTTAGACACATTATTATTTTTTACTTTTCCCTCAATATTCCTTATTTAAGTTCTACACAAGTCACAAAATCGTACTCAAAAATATATACGGAATTAAATGTATACAAGTAATTATTATATGTGTTTACCTTGGTTATTACAGTTGTATTTATATCTCTGTCTTTGAAAACAACAACACAATAATCTATTCTGCTGGCTATGCTATAAAGGCTTATGGTTTTCTTTATGGTGCATGGCCTTTATTTTTCTCTTTGACAAAGGCTCTATAATGCTTCCAGATTATTTTTCCTCTGAAGTGACTAAGCTGTCTCTGAAATGTTAAGAGATAGCAGGTTAGCTGAGTGGAAAGGTCGTGGTTGCTTAAGAAGAGAAGTGAAGCGGCCACAGGAGACACGATGCAGGGCAGATCCACAACTACAGCTGCCACACATGAATGTTTGATAAGCAGGCGGGATAATGGCTCCTTAAATCACTCGAACATAAACATCTCCATCACGCTCTGACATCTGCCATCCAAAGCTAATAAATTGGACCTGAATAATGAATGAATATTGATAATTATAACGCTGAAATATCTAAATGTGTCTCATACAAGAAATATAGGTCAAGCATATGAGGTGCATTGTGTTTGTTCCTTAGGCTAAACATATTTATCTACTGACTTTCACTGAGTATCACTTTGGTTTTTTTGTTGGTATTTGCGTGTAGCTGGACATGTTACATGCCGGCTTCAATGGCTTTAGCAGTGTGAGCCCCATGCTACGAAAACATTATGGTTTCAATAGCAGGGAGTGGGCATGCGTACTGAGCGTATCTAACCTGATACAAACTACTGATAGGCCTACTGTAAGCCAATCAGATCTGCATTGTGGCAAAACAAACCACCAGAAGCAATGAGTTTAATATTTTCAGCTGCATGGAGAGGAAACTTTGAAAATATATATTTTTTAAACTCGTTGTTCAAAGACAGAACGAAGGAAATTAAATATATATTTTCAAGACTTTAACTAGATTAAGTTTATAAATAAAATTACACTTAAATTACAGCATTGGTGGAAGATTGTCCTCATAATTAAGAGTTTGTAGTCTGTTTTTCGTATGGCCCTTAATGCCATTAATGCAAAAACAACAACTATTTAAATACACTTTTTCCACACACTGATTTAACAAGTATCCGAAGTGATTAATGTAATTTGTAGGGATCTTAGAAGAAGAGCTAAACATTTTTCTGTGAGTTCAGGGCTTTATGATTTTTAATAAAGCTGTGGCCTAACAACCTACAAACAATAATTATAGCCTAATGATAATTACAATAATAAAAGGTTTAATAATAATAAAATATGATGAAGTCTGTGCTACATTTTAATATTCGTGATCTGCTTGTTATGAGTGGTATTAAGGACATACATTCTTATTATTTTAAACATCATGGTTTTGTTCTGAGTTTTAATTTTTCTTATTTTTTCTCCTACAATTATTCCCAACTCCTTTAAGAAGCAATCATTTTGGCCATGCTGATTTTGTATTTCCCCGGATAGCTCCAGGAGCAGCTCACTAAAGGGCCAGCTTGTATAGCACTTGATTTTCTTCTTGGGTCAAACTGTTGTTGACCTGTTGCACCTTTCCTTTTCTCTCCCTAGCCTACCTGAACAGCAACACCCCCCCCCCCCCCCCCCCCACCTGCTCTCCCAGACGTCCGCTATTGATCTGCAGAGGCAAAATCAGATTGGACTGGCGCTGCTCACACGTGAGTAACCGGCTCCTCAGCCGCCGCATCCCTCCGTTATTATCCTGGAAGATAATATCCAGATAGAGACCGGTCAGTGCCAGAACTCACCTCTGATTGGCTCAAACCGCTGTCATGTGATCACACCTTAGAACCACCGCAACACCGGAACCAATCTGTTGTCTAGCAACCACTTTGAACAACTATAGCTTAAAATAAAAAAACGAATAATTTGCCAATCAATTATCAAAAAAGTGGTTTCATTTCTCTTTTTCTTCTATAAGAATTTTGCTTTAGCCCACAGCAGGCCCAGAGACCAACACGCACGTACTGTGTTTTCTTTAATCATCAAATCAAATCAATCAATCGGACAATCAATCAACGTTAAAGGGACATTTTAGGACGCCTTCTTGACCAAAGTCAATAGGCTACGAAACTAATTATAGGCAAATAAATGTTTACGTAGGCTATCATTGATTATCCAATACAAATATACAACCAACCTCAACATAATTTCAAAGTAGGCTATTTCAAGAAAGATTTTCCAAGGATAATTTGCATATTTCCATGAAAGATAGTTATTTTTAAAAGGTCTGAAGAATATCTTTAGGTATACGGCCCTGGTTCTCATGGTCATTCAATTGAACTTTAACAGACACCAGGTCATTTTCAAAGAACAGTATTAAGGTGGAAATATATAAATATATTCATATATTCATAAAGTGCAGAGTAATTTAGATTCATTTGAAAACAAATGTGTAAAGTAAATGTTACAGCAAGACAACATATTTAAAAAGACAAAAATAATCAGAAGAAGAGTAACCATTTTTAATAAAGACCAAAAGCTATTTCAACAAAAAATACGGTAGAAGATAAACCCATGCTATTGATGCAGTGAAAAACTATGTGCGAGTTGTCCAAGCAGCCTGTGTTTGCAGCTATTCCCCCCCCTGTTTCTGATATGCTGCCTTCCTGCTGCTCGGTGCAGGAATTGTTCTGCTGAACAATGATCAGAGCCGTGCAGGCCAACAATCCCATGCGCACTGAGCGGATATGACATGGCCCACCTCTTTTACACTTCTTGCCTGTCTCAGACTTGACTTGGGGGTAAACGGGCAATCGAGTGGAGTAATGTCAAAAGCTGCAGTGAATGAAGGAGGGTGAGGGTGAGGGTGAGGGGAGAGGGAGAGGGAGAGAGAGAGAGAGAGAGAGAGAGAGAGAGAGAGAGACTGTGACGTCGATTTTGCTCATTGCGTTCCATGCAAACACCGCAACAAACAAAATGCGAGACAATGACAAGATCATGGGTGACA